ATCAATAGGACAAAACAAACCACTAAATATGAAAAGATTATCACCAATTTGACATACGACAAAGGGCTAATATCCAAGATATCTAAAGAACTCAAGACACTAGACATCAGCAAACTAAGTAATCCAACCATAAAATCAGGTACAGATATAAATGGAGAATTCTCAGCAGAAGAGACTCAAATGACCTAGAATCCCTTAAATAAATGATCACTCTCCTTAACCATCAGAGAAACCATGAGAGAAAGCAACTCAAAAGGACTTTGAGTATCTGTCTTACACTAATACGAACCTTAAGATCAAAATCACAAATAACAGTTTGTGCTGGAGTGTATGTGGAGCAAAAAGAACACTCCTCCACTGCTGTTGGGACTACAAATTAATATAGCTATTTTGGAAATCAATATGGTGGTTTCTCAGAAAATTGCTAATCAGTCTGCCTCAAGACCCAGCTACACTCCCTTGGGAATATACCCAAAAGATGTTCCATCCTAATAGAAAGAAGTTTGCTATACTCATAACAATTTTAAACATAATATCCAGAAGCTGGAAACATCCTAGAGGTTCTGCAAATGAATAATGGATAAAAATATGGTTTTACACATATGCTTGGTTAATGGAGCATTACTAAACTCTGATATACAATGATGACATGTAATTTGCATGAAATTGGAAAACATTAACCCTTAGGTTGAGTGTGATACATGAAGGCAAATGTAGCATGTTCTCTTTCATATGGAATTTACCTTTTGAACTTTATATGACTGTGCGTGATCTGGAGCACCTACAGAAGTAAGGAAAACTGAAGAAGCATAGTGGTAGAAATGGAAGACTTTAAGGGAGATGCAATAGTAGGACACATAGGGTATAAGCTGGGAAATGGGATAACATTGGAGAAATGCCTTAAGTATGAAGTGGATGAAGGGGATGGGAGTGTAAGGCAGAGGGGTCTAAAGGGAGGAATAGATATTGCTAAGTCTGTTTTAAAAAGAATACAGAAACCTCCTATTTTTTGTTAACTAATAGGTGTAATAAAAATTGGATTTTAAGTTGAGGTGTCCTATTGTGTACTCAGAAAGGAAGGAAATTTTCTTCCCAGAATCTAATTCTTACTGAAAATAAATTTATATGTCACTTGTGGACTATCTGTCTCCCTTTAAGTTTGTTGTTGAGGAGTCTGAGAGAACCCCACAACATTTGCTGAGCATGTACAAGGTCCTTGGTTCTATTCCCAACACTGAAAATAAAATAGAAAAGAATGGAAAATTATATTTCAAGAAAACAGAAAAAAAAACATAACAGTGACAATAGCTAGATTTTCACATGATAAAATAAACTTTAAGACAAATTTCTAGAAAAAGATTAAGTGGCTTTAAAGTAAAGTGGGATACAGTCATGAAGATTGTATAATTTCCGGAGCTTCAAAACCCACTTTTATCAAGAGAAATATTTATTAGATCAAAAATGAATTGCCAAAGAAACATCAATGATAAAATTCACTGTAGATCAAAGTAACCGAATGGAGCCTCAAAGCAGTCTATCCTACACTGAAAACTATACTGCTTGAGTAAGTTTCTCCCAAATAGGCTACCTATTAGGCCACAAATTTTAATAAATTTAAAAAAAAATAAAATTATTCCTTCTATGTCTTTCCTGATGAAAATACAGTAAAACTATAAATTATAAGCAAGAAAATATGAAACTACTCAATTACATGTGAACAATGAATAGTGGTCTCTGAAGAAATTGACAGAAAAATTTACATACCACTCAAGTAAAAATAAAAAATGGAAATAAATGAGGCCTATAAGAAACACAAACATCATCATTAAAATTTGTTATGTCGCAGTAAGTTCCTAAAGGACAATGGAGCAGTTTGGCCTAGTGGTTCTGAACTTGAGCTCAGTGAAGTAGAGGGTGAAACTTAAAATCAGAAAGTTTAACATTGTTTGAACAGAGGACAATAACAAAGCTTGTTTGAGTAACTTAATGCCATCCTGTCTCCAACATTTAGCTCCATTCTAGTGATGAAGGAACAGTTCAGTATATGTAAATAAATAAAATTAATATATCAAATTAACAAATTTGAGATAAAACGTCATTACCATTTCCATAAATAAGGCAATAAAATTAGATGTGCATTCATAATAAAAATTCTAAAATAATTCAGGTGTACCAACTTAATAAAGGCTGTCAATTACAAAACTCTATAGTTCCTATCATATTGAAAGTGAGAATACAGAAAATAGTTTCAAAAATCTGAACAAAAAGGTAAGGACTTCCCATGCTCATAATCAATATGATCTTCAAAACTTTAGTCAGAGCAACTGGCAAGAGAAAGAAATCTTTAAAAAAATTCACTGACAGGAAGATTGTAAATTAAATTATTGATTTCTGGATGATGTGACTACTATATATAACATTACTCAAAAATACTATTAGAACTTATATAAATATAGTTGATGATAAAATGCCACACACGTTCTTCAACAGACATGGACAAATCAAGTTGTTCCTGACTGGGAAGATGCCTCCCTTCTGCTAGCATTCATAGTACAGGAAGGTACCATTTAAGCTGCCAGGTGGAGGGCATCAGCAAGAATATACATCTGTGAATGCTATAAACAAGGATAAACATGGCTGGACAAGACATGCCCATGGAAGTTACCAGTCACTGGACAAATCAGAAATTCTAGAAGTCAACCTGTATAGCAACAGCCAGTGTGTGGGTGCACAAGTTCCCCACTTTTCCCGAGACGCCATGCAGGGCTGTTCTGCTTCCTGGTTCCACTGCATCAGCTTGAGGGTGTAGCATAGAACTGCCCTCTCCTGTTATGTTAATATCACCTACGGCCCAAGGGTGTAGCTCAGAGAGAACTCTACTGTCATGGTAATTCCACCTGCAAGCAAGGTTCTCGCCCGCAGGCAAGGTTCCTGGGTCAGCTTTTCTCTGAGCCTGAGCACGCCCACCTGGCTTCCTCTTTTCTCTGTTCAGCTGCTGTCCGACCTTGGGTGCGACCCCCTGACTTTTCTCTTCTTGATCCTGATGGGGGGCTGGTGTCCTTTTGCCCCACAGTATATATACCCGACTTATGCTTAATAAAGCTGCCATTTGCCACTTGCTCTTTGGCAGATGAGCCGGTCTCTTTGTGTGTGTGTGTCATCTGTTCAAACCCCTAGGACATGCGTCCGTTCTCGTGGGCTCGAGTCAGGAAAGCGCGCGCCTGTTTCGAGGTTCGGGTGTCCACAGAAAAGTGCGGAAGCTTACAGATGGCGTCCCTCGGTCGGCTTTGAATAAGGACTGAAGAACAGCGTTCTGCCGTCTGTGGATCTACCACGAGAAACCCAAAGAGGTAGGGGTTCCCCCACGATCCGGAATCTGGCCAGTGTTGTGATGTGCAGTTGTGCACGTGTGATAAGGGGGTATTGAATGAGTTTGATTTTTAGAAGTATGGGTACCGAAAGGTCTGATCCAGAGCTGAAGGCCATTGGGCAAATCAGCTGCTAAAATTCGTAAAGAGACTAGGTACCAAGATTAAGATGACACAGCTCAAGAGACTGTTTAGACTATTTTAAAACTCAGTCCCTGACTCTCACATGCAGGGAACTTTAATTTTTGCCAAAGAGAACAGGCTGGGTGCAGCTAGCTCGCGGCTAAAATCTGTTCCCAAGGTTACAGGACCCAGCTTAAGCAAGCACGCTAGCAATAGCCGATGGCCATGTAATTGCGGACCTCGGGCTGAGAAAATATTCAAAGGTGTGTCTAACAGTTCTATTAAGAGTTTCTGAGTAACTAAAGGCAAAAGAGCCAAAAAGAGAGAGTTTTGACAAAACAAGAAAGCGCAGCAGCCTTGAGCCCCAAGCCGTAGATGGAGCTGGGTATTACCCACAGCTAATGAGCTACATGCTAGACGGAATGTGATCCACCTGCGCGGAGGCCAACAGACCATACAGGGTCCATACACAGGACTCCGGCAGGCTGCGCAGCTGCGGCTGGCAACTCTAGGAGTCCCAGGAAACTGGCGGCCAAGGCACGGAACGCCGCAATGCCAAAAGGTGCCTGCCACAAATGGATGGGCTAAGGGCAGGTTTACGTTGGAGGCTGTATGTAATGTTATGTGAGGCTCAGAACAGCGCCAACAGAGCAAAGGCTGCGCATGCCCTAGACCAAGGCCGGGCCAGACACAAATGCCTTTAAGCTGACAGAGGCCACGAGCCTACAGTTTTCTGACAGGCAGTTGCTACCTTTGGGCTAGCTCAGAAAGCGCGCCATAGCTGGAGAGCTGCTTCAGCAGGTTGCTGCTTCAGCAGGTTGCCTGTATCCTAGATAACAAAGGCGGACCTATAGCCTGGGGCAATGGCAAACAACATTAAGGCTGCTAGGTCAAGGATTTTCCATCTCAACAGAAAGCTAAGAAATGGGTTAAATCTAGCCGTCAAAGCCACGGGTCTCCATATTGCTTAGTAAATTAAAGGCTTATGTAGTCAGAAAAAGAAAAATATACGGTAAAGAGAGATTCTAAAAGGGAAAAAAACCTCTAACTGGTTTACAATGTGTTAAAAATATATACAGGCTAAAAGTTAAAGTTCTTCTAGGAAGAGAGTAGTTGGGTGTGGTAGTACACACCTTTAATCACAATACCTGGGAGGCAGAGACAGATCTCTGTGAGTTCTGGGTGTTGTAGCACACGCCTTTAATCCTAGCATTGGGGAAGCAGAGACTGTGGAACTCTATGAGTTCACGGACAGCTTGGTCTACGGAGTTATTCCAGGACAAAGATGTACATTTGAGGAGCTTATCTACAAAGAATCATAACTTCCCTCTGCTCCTGGAGTTGGATGAGGAAGTTTGAGTGCAGGTGATTATTCCTTGATCCCTACTGGGGCAGATAAAGGTTGTATACACGTGATCAGTCCTTGATCCTTGCTGGGGTCAGGTGAGAGTCCCTCCGTGGCTCTCCATTTGGTGCCATGGTAAAAAGCTAGCCCCAGCAGAGCAATAAGCAAGCTGCTGTTTCTCCTCAACTTCATGCTCTAAGGATTTCATTCAACCTGGACACCCTCCGCCGAGACTCGTAGACGAGATCGGAAAGATGAGGATCGTGGACTGGGTCATCCTGTTGTGTGGCCAGGATGCATTGTGGATTGAGATATAATTAAATAAGAGATAATTACAAAATGGGGAATACCCCGGGTAAATCAGAGTTAAAGAGGTTGTTGTAAGAAACAGTTGTCTGGTTTTAAATCTAATGTTTTCCTTTCTAAGGAAAGGTTGCTTACACATTTTTAGAGGGCTCCAGGCTAGGAGCGGGAGAACTGGTTTTCTCAAATTTTTGGAACAATAGCTCAACTATACCAGATTCAAAACAATCTATTCAGGACCTAAAGAGGTATAGCTAAATTTTGAGATGGTATGTTGCCTAATTTTCTAAAATTCCAGACTGTGCCAATTTACATTTCCACCAATCGTGGAAAGGTTTCTCTTAAGTATAAACTGTGAGCAATGTTTGATCTTGGTCATGTCATTTAAAATAAGATAGTCTCAAAAGTTATTTTGATTTACATTTCTTCTATGATTAAAGATATCATATTAAGGATTTTTTAAATATCTTTCAGTCATTTTTAAGTTTGTCCATTGAGAGTTTTCAGTTTAGATCTGTTACATATATTTTATTTCATTAATTGTTCTTTGGAGGACTGTTTCTGGAGTCCTAATGTTTTCTGTATGGATTGATGACTGACAAAGATTTCCACATCTGTAGCCAGATATGTCGATCCTATTAATTATTTCTCAAAATGCTGACGGGAGGCAATGTGCCCCCATAAAGATAACAATTTTAATAATTCTATCCAGTTATGTAAATGCTCACATACTGGATCAGATAATTATTTTCTGCCCCTGGAAAGGTTCCAGGCGGAGTTGATCCTAAAATATATTTTGGGGCTGATGGTTCAGCCCAGTTCAAGACCTGCTACAATTGTGCAGGCCAATAAAAAATAATGTTTTGAGGTTGGCTAATTCAGGCCAATGTTCAGGCCGGTTGCAATGGCACAGGCCAATGAAATTTGCTCTTTGGAGCAGAGACCTGTAGGTCTCTAAGTTCAAGACCAGCCAACGTCAATACTGGCTGAGCTAAGTTTTGTTCTATTTGTTACTCCCAATGTGTAACATGGTCCAGTTCATGCATTAATTTGGGGTAGAGGAGCGGTTTATGTGTTTCCACAGGATGCAAAGCAATTCATTTGGGTCCCTAAATGTCTGGTGTGGACCGTGGATTCCTCTATTCAGAGACCTGAGGACAAGGCGAGATCAAGAGACTCTGCGGGCGCGGCAGAGGCGGCGAGGAAGATGACAGATTCCTGAGAGATGATCCAGCGCCTGCCTTTGCCCCTTTCCCAGCTTCCTATCTTTGCTCTGCCTTGATCTGCCTACTTAGCCAAGGCTGTTCTACCCCCTGAGGGGAAGCAGCTACTTCCCCTACCCTAGATTGCAGCATTGAGTACTCTCAGCGGCGGGAACCTTGCAGGTCAGACAGAAATACCATGGACTTTCAAATTAATTTAAATTCTCGATTAGATGCTTTTGTTGAATCTTTACAAACTGGGTGTGGATTTTGACCTCTGCTGGTCGCTGGTTAAGATTTTGCTGCTTTTCTCGGACCCCGGAATACAAAATTGCTAATTGGCTTTAATTTAGTATGGTTAGTCATTCCAGTGGTCCCATTTGCCGGTGCCGTAGCCTTACTCAAAAGGGCTCTATTCAGAGCAAAACGTTTCAGACACTGTGCAAGCACAGTCTCTTCCAGGATTGCTCATGTGTATGCTGGAACATTTTCACCTGGCCAATGGCTTCAGGTCCGCCACGGCCTGGCCCTAGTAGGCATTCGTCTCGGAGCATCTTTCAGCATAAATATGGCTGGATTCAATGTATGACTAGTAAGCAATGACGGGTTTATTGCACGGGGGGGCGGTCTCGCCTAAGACAAGGGGTGCGTTTGGACCTGAACACATTCCCGTAGACGGGTTTAGAGATCTAACCCAACGACCGACATGCCTAAGACAGCTGCTAGTCATCATATTTTATATATATTTAAAGGGAGACTTGTGGGTGCACAAGTTCCCCACTTTTCCCGAGACGCCATGCAGGGCTGTTCTGCTTCCTGGTTCCACTGCATCAGCTTGAGGGTGTAGCATAGAACTGCCCTCTCCTGTTATGTTAATATCACCTACGGCCCAAGGGTGTAGCTCAGAGAGAACTCTACTGTCATGGTAATTCCACCTGCAAGCAAGGTTCTCGCCCGCAGGCAAGGTTCCTGGGTCAGCTTTTCTCTGAGCCTGAGCACGCCCACCTGGCTTCCTCTTTTCTCTGTTCAGCTGCTGTCCGACCTTGGGTGCGACCCCCTGACTTTTCTCTTCTTGATCCTGATTGGGGGCTGGTGTCCTTTTGCCCCACAGTATATATACCCGACTTATGCTTAATAAAGCTGCCATTTGCCACTTGCTCTTTGGCAGATGAGCCGGTCTCTTTGTGTGTGTGTGTCATCTGTTCAAACCCCTAGGACATGCGTCCGTTCTCGTGGGCTCGAGTCAGGAAAGCGCGCGCCTGTTTCGAGGTTCGGGTGTCCACAGAAAAGTGCGGAAGCTTACACCAGTGATTTTTAAAAAGCTTGCTAAAAGTGCAGAGAGGAGAAAGGACAGCTTTCCACACCATTTGTGATGCTTCACTTCTGTACACAGAGAGTGGATGACCTTACAAAACTCAGTGAGTATCAGAAAACAAAAAGTCAGCTGCAAAGAAATTGGAAAGTACTAGATTAAAACATATCTGAAATGTACAAAGAACTCCAAAAGTTTAACCAGAAAAAGGAAATAATCCGATGTATATTTGAATGATCTGAACACAAAGGATAATTTTTAAAGAAAATAACCAATAGATTGTTCAAAACATCTTCAATATCCCACACAATCAGATATATACAAATAAAATTGTGATGACATTTGATCAAACTCCATTTAGAACTGCCATTATTTAAAAAAAAACATACATTGGTCAGAATGTAAACAAAAGAAAGATCACAGGCAGTGCTGGCTGGAATGTAATTGCTGACAGCCATTATGTAGAACTGTATGGTAGTTCATCAATAACTGAGTTAGCTCTACCTTACTGTCCAGTTATCCTACTTCTGGGTATTCATTCACAGAAAATGATACCAGCATAAAAATGTACTTGAATGAAAATATTAACATAGGATTATTCATAATTCCTGAGATACATAGTTAGGCTCCATACTCAAGAACAGATGCATAGATAAAAATGTGTTACACCTACCTTCAGGGGTGTAGACTCAGCCACGAGAAAGAAATCAAATCCTGACACTTGCAACAAAGTAGAAGGGTTCTGGGGACACTGTCTTAAGCAAAATAAGCCACATACACAATGCTAAGTAATACATATTTTCTCATAATGATGAGAAAATGAAATAACCTCAGAGTCATGAAAAGTATTATGATGAATGTTCTAGATTTGATAGCTGCATGCTGCATGAACAAATAGAAGTTTCAGTTTGCATATTAGTAATGTATTTCACTCATCAGTGTTGTTTCTGTGAACATGACAATCACATACCCATAAAAGCAGGTGTGCTTGCTGAAATAGCAAGCCAGTGAAAAGTGATTAATATTCAACATCTCAATTCAGTGTGAAGTTGTTTTACTGATATGTTTTCGCAGTTTCTTCTCACATACCCTGTTTAAGGTAGATAGTTCATCTGTGCTTTGACAAGAAGTTAAATATTATACTGCATGCAACTAGGCTGTAATGTGGATATACTATATGTCTTATTATAAACTCCTCCAAAGTGTGAACAGCTTTTCCCATTAATCTTTGGTATTTTACTATCACTGCTAAAGAGCAAACTCTATTTGTTTCACTTTTAAATGTCTAAACACACAATGTCTAAGCTCACTGAACACTTCAATTTATGGAACTGTGATTTTAATACTAATTTTGTCAGCTTGAAAGGGTCTAGAATCATCTTGGAGACAAACCCCCACATACATCTATGTGGGTATTTCCAGGCATTGGTCAACTTAACTTGAATGATTCACCCTAAATCTGTGCCACATTAGATAGAACAAAATGGTGAAGTCAGATTGGATGCTCTGCAAAGGGCCACTTCAAGTACCTGCCTGAAGTTGCCCTCCAATGAAGGACTGCACAGTTGAACTGTCAAACCAAACACAAATAAAGCCTTTCCTTGAGCTTCTTCATGAATATTGTCACAGCAATGAGTAAAGTAACTAATACACTAATTTATAAGGATTATAAGAAAAAGCTGTATGAAAACAAGAAGGCAAATATTGTTATATTGCATCATTATGATAATGATTTCAATTTCTTTATGGATAGAAGATTGTATATTTACATGTGTATATTTATATTTCACATAGAGTGTTGTTGCATTTATTAGTAAATACAGTCTGACATAGGAATTGGTTTCATATATCTGAGCATTTCTCTGTTTGCAGGCTTGCATGCCATATCCATGAAGGCTAAAAAAAGCAATTCAACTGGATTTGCAGTAGGTTGTGCACTGCCATGTAGGTACTAGGAATTAGAGGAGTAGTCACTAATACTAAATTTTGAGCCACCTTTCATCCCTTGATGTAAGAATTTTAGGGAATGACTAAACATCATTACTCTGAAGAAATGTGAGGTGAAAAACATGATTGTGGTCATAAAATGGATACAAGAGGGATGAGCTGGGTTTTCACCTCTGCTAAGCACCATTAAAATTGAAATCCTTCTAAGTACAATAAAAAGCTAACACATAAAATTTATTCATACTTTACTTAATGAATAAATTGGCAGAGATGAATACATGCTATGAGATCAATTATGAACAGAAATTTGAAATTGAGTGGAGGGATTTTATGGTGTATAATTTAATATTTTAGCATATTCTCAAAATTAGGCATGCATCATCACCCTTTAACATCAGAATTCTTTCAAAATCTCTACCTAGAATAAGTTCTTGTTTTCTCTCCTTTACTTTCCTCCTGGGTCTGAGCAGCAACTAAATCACTTTTTTGTTCTGTGATGTACTTATTCTGGATATTTCATACAAGAAGAAGCTAACAAGTGTTTTATGTGGCAGTCATTATTCACTTAACACTAGGTTTTCAGGATATACTTTTAATTTAGCATGTATTAATGCTTTATTTTTAAAGTGAGGTTCATACTCCATGGTATGAATATCCCATGTTAATGGCGAATCAATCCCACACCAGTTATGTTTTAAAGGGGTATTTATTTTGGGGGTAAAACTTGCATACATCATAAACCGTCAGGAAGGCAGCCTAGTTACTGGAGCAGGAGCCAGGAGAAGGAGGCGGGACCAAGCGCCAGAACCAAGAGGCCGACCCGAGGCTTGTTGCTCTTCTTTTTAAAGAGAAATATACCACGCCCCAGTGGGCTGGTATATCAGCAGCTATTGGCTGATGGAGCGGAAGGTGCTCCCACAGCACCTCCCCCTTTTGTTTAAGTAAGAGAGTTCTAAGCCTACCACGAAATTATATACAGTAAGTACAAACCTACAAAATTATATACAATAAGTACAAATATCCTATTCTAACTAGCTAAAGTCTTGTATAATAAATAACTTGGCCAAGTCATGAGAGGAAAGTAGCTACATTTATCTAGTCTTCAACCCCATAGAAGATCCGAGAAGGGAAATAATGTTACCTGAGTAAATAGGAAGTGCAATCAAAGAACTTCCAAAACGTGCAACAAATTACAGAGACAACTGGCTACCTGGGCAATCACCAAAGACCTGTTTGCAGCATTGAAGCAACAAACTTTGACTAAGGCCTAGAATAACTGACAGATTATTTTTAACAGGCAAGAGATTTTTCAAAACTACCTTACCCTGTCTTGGCAAGATTTAACAGTTCTGTTTATCCATTTCCGGATTTTATCCATTTCCGGATTTTAACAGGCAAGAGATTTTTCAAAACCGTCTTACCCTGTCTTGGCAAGATTTGACAGTTCTGTTTATCCATTTCCGGATACCGTGTATTTATCAGTAGTTGAGGTATGGGCAGTTCCTTGCCCAGAGGCCAGTTTTGTCAAGAAGACAAGCTCCAAGTGGAGTGTCTTTGGTGCTCAACAATCTTTCTTGGATAGGTCGGTGTTGCCATGAGTGATTCTGTCTCACTACACAGAACTCTAAGATTAAATTAAATGCCATTTTCTACAGCTCTTCGAAGAGGTTGAAGATTATTTATACAGAATATAATCTCTATGTATCTAAAGAACCTGATTAGTCTAACCATAAATATGACAGACATAGATGACTATCGATCTACAATTCTTAACGTGTATCTAACTTAAAGACTAAGAGAATAAACAACTGTGCAATAAATGAGGATAATTACCTCCAAATGTAAACAATAAATATCAATACATAAACAATATGTAAGTATCTTAATCAAAGGTAGAAATGTACACTGCAATATGGTATACATATATCAAGACAATGTACATCAATACATAAAAAATGTTTTAAACAGGTAGAAGCATGCATAGATACAATATTCAGTATAATTTAACTTTGTATTCATATACAAAAATCTATGCCGATGTAATTATCTATAAACAATAACTCACAAATACCATTATTATCTATCCAATTTTCCCTCTTTTTTTAAAAAAAAATATCCCTGAGCATATAAAATTCCTTTCCCAACTTTCAACC